CTGCATCAGCTCATCTGGGGCAGGAGAAGTGGGAGTCCCACGCTGAGCTTTACATTTTGCGTGGAAACACTTAATAAGTGAACAAAAGTTGTCCTGACAGCTCTCCGCCCTTTATAAATCTAATGATCATTGAGAATCATTGCAGTTTTGTAAATAGCCAAATTGCCTTCTTCACTGGAAAAATAATACATAGAAAGGACCAGGAAAAGAGGAATGTGAATGCATTTTGCCTGTTGACTTTTCCTGGACCTCTTTGATGAGAGGGTTTCGGCCTCTTTTTCTACAGATTTGGAGGCATGTTCTATTTCAAGCTTGTTGGAAAAGCTTCAGAGTTTACTCCCGTTCTTGCACTCAGCCAACACAGTTTTAACAGAAGTCAAACTGCAAGTGCTCAGACATGAAAATAATCTAGGGAGAAGTGAGGGAAATCAGCAAAGGCAATTTGTCTTTATCTTTAACCTTATTTTTGCCTCCATACTAACCTTTTTAACCCCATCCAATACCTTGACAGACTTTGCTTCAGTCTGCCACTGCAGCTCTCTAGAAAGGGACGGACTGCAATGCAGGAGCAGAACTAGTATACATGTAACAGTGATAGAGTCTACTAGAAACAATTTATCTAGACAGTTATCTAAAAGAACCACTGGAAATTTAGAAACAGCCAATCTATAGAGTTCTCTTAACTTGCAAATGGAAAAATCCCTTTTCCTTTGTAGTAAAAAGAGGTGGTTTTTTTCACTCTGACTTATTTTCCTCCAGGCTGTACTTGGAGACTTTCGCAGCAGCATTAAAACAGTGCTGCAGCTTCTGGAATCCCTCTGTGCAATAAAACTGAGTCCTTTTGAATAGCTCCTCTTCTTGCCAGCATAGCCCTCTCCTCATATATATATTTGGGAAAGAGATTTGTCCTACTCCTGAGCCTCAGATGAGTTGTTGAAACCTCCTAGACATTTTTAAGCTCTCATGAAAAGCGTTCTGGCACTTCGTGATTTCCTGAATGAGCAGTTCGATGGAAGGGATTAGCATTTAACATATACCACTCCTAACGGGAAAACACCTGGGAATTACAATTCTGGTGTCATGTACACAGGCACGAGTATGTTAAGACAGCTGTGGGAACACCTGAATGGTAAACAGATTTCTACTCTGACAACTCATTAGAAAAAAATGAATGACACTGTGTGTGTAGCCAATGGACAGTAGCAAGTGCTGCCTGCAGGATCCCAGGGGTCCTATGTCTTAGTGTTACAGAGAAGAAATGCTTAGGAAATTTGAGATGAAAAATGGGCCATATTTGACAGTACTTGTCATTTGCAATTCTTTGCAAAAGCTTGAATAGTCTAAGTCAAAACACACTGAGGTCTCTGAGAAGTTTTCTACTTGCTGCCACGGCAGTTTTATCAGGTGCACAAGTGAGTTCTGGGAACTGCCACCTTCACATCGGGCCGTTTAGAGACTGTATTTAAAGAAGAGTGTTCACAAGGTGACTTTTATGTCTTTGCCACTGTTTTGCAGTCTGCTTAAATCAACCAATGGAAAGTATACCACAAGGCGCTCTTACATTTTATTGAAGATACATTATCAGATAAGGAACTGGATTATTGTTTAAGCGGTTCAATGTACTTATATTTACTTGCTTATATGCCATGGGAATACTAGAGATGAAAAACAATTGAATCATCATTTGTTAATTTTTTAATCATTTCAATTGCTCCGCAGGAGTTGACTATTGTGCTCTGAGTGATCATGGCTGTGAACAGTTGTGTGTAAATGGCGATAGGTCTTACACTTGTCAGTGTTTTGAAGGATACAGGCTTCGTAATGATGGGAAAACCTGTAAACGTAAGTTATTGTTCAGCAACTCAGATTCTTATTATACGCACAGAAGAAATGTGTAAGGTAGCATTTGATTGCCTAAGCATTGCCATCCAGTATCATTTTAAATGCTTGAGTATTCCAAAAGTTCATAATTTCCCCTTTGGTGTAACATTTGCCAGCAGTATGTCAATATCTTGGATACTCTCGGGCATCTAAAGTGGCACTGGATGCATGCTTTTAGGTGCCTGAATCACACCTTAAATGTCTGTACCATTTAAGAAGTAGACCTGTAATTGGACCGTTACAAATCCAAAGCTATTTCTCTCTGACTTACATCCTTATATGGGACAACCGTAATTTTCTTCTCAAATCAAGGCAAAAATATATAATATATAATGTTTCTAAAGTCTTATATAGCATGAGTAAGCTTGCAATATTATTAGTGAAAAGTTCGTTTATTTGTCCGGCATGGGATAAGGATGATTGCAAAAGATATCATAATTGCATTACACAGTTGATTACATTATGCGATTATGATGAGTGGCAGATATAAAAAAAATTCATTTCAAATTTATCTCCTGTTTTATAGTTTTGATCACTAAGTGATCAAAGAAGAATCATGGATAAGTCTCTGAAAAACACGCAGGCATAAAGTATTTTATAACTGTAATCCCAGTAATATCTGTAGATCTCATCAACATCTGCTTTTAAAAACATTTACAGAAAAAAAAAAAATTAAATTAATCCAGATACTATCATGACAAATGAAAAGCTCCTTATTATCAGTTTGTATATCACAACACCACCTTACTTTGTTAGTCCTTGCGAACAGAGAAGAATTTTGCTTGTCTCAAAAAGTACTAACACTCTAATCTTGCAAAAAGCTAAAAGCAAGTAAAATTTTCTGTCCATGCAGAAGTCCTTGCAGGAAAATAAAGGACGTGGGAAAGAAAGGGAAAGCAAGATGTTAGTTTATCAAACGTTAATTAATATATTTATTTATTTTGAAATATGAATTGTAGCTAGATTCTATATCAGAAAACCCCACTGAGCCCAATTATAGCTGACAATTTTCCAGAATTTCACAGCAGGATCGTACAATCTGTCTTTCTTGTTATCCTTAAATACTACATAGATTGAACCTTTGCAAACCTACTCTACAAAAAAAGGACAAGCACCTTCTGAGCTTAAGCACAGGTTAAAAAAGCATAATTATTTCAGGCTTGAGCAGATCTATTCAGATCTATTCCTGAATATGAACAGACAATGATAGATCTGTTTCACACCAGAAAGTTTACTTGAAATGTGGATGTGGGACTTAGGTGCCTTTGGAAATCCCTGTGGGTCACTAATCTGTATGCTGGGGACACATGAAATTCTACAATGTCTAGAACTGGAACAGTGCACTTTACCTTAATAGTAGGGCTGTAAAATTAGCAGGACAAAGATGTACCTTTTTGGTACAACAAAAAAAAACCCAGCAGGTGCTATAAATGATTTGCAGGATTGAGTCCAGTATATTAGCGAGGACAAGAACATTCAGTAACTGGGAATTGTAAGACTTTGAACATCTTGCCCTTAACTAACACAATTTTTTTTATCTATTAAATTATTCCCAGGTAAAAATGTCTGCAAATCAGTCAATCACGGCTGTGAGCATATTTGTGTTAGTGCTGACAATTCCTATGCCTGCAAGTGTCGTGAGGGATTCATCCTGAGAGAAGACGGCAAAACGTGCAGAAGTGAGTGACCGATACCTATTGAACATTTTAGCATGTGCATCAGGCAAGAAGAGAAAGGGTTTTTTTCACCTCTTATTGGAAAAAAAAAAATCCTTTTGATAGCTACATTTTTTTAGCATGTTTTCATTCAAAACCTGTATTTATATTAATCATTCCCAGGACGGGACATCTGCAAATCAGTCAGCCATGGCTGTGAGCATATTTGTATTAACGAAGACGACTCAT